GAGACTGGAAGCAAGTGGAGCTTGCCAGGTTCTGTCGGTAAAAAAAATCTGCCTACAAGCACCTCTAAAGATCACTAATTGACACATTATTTCTTGTTTTTGTTGACCATTGAGTTGGATTCAGTGGCATCTAGTGGTGAAGTTGCAGATTGCAACTAACTGAATACAGCTCAGCCTTCAAGCGTGAAGGAGTGTAACGAAAACACTAGTAAATGTTACACACCTTTCTCTGCTGGTTGCCTGGCAACCTCAAGGTGACTCCAGGAGGTCAATGTGCCCGACCAATAGATAGTCCAGCACATAACGCCACGTAAAAACTACAACTTCTTGTTTTTACACATCAGTTTAAACAAACAAGATGTAATGTATTAATTACTGAGTTTCTGACAGAGCTAGGCTAGCTTTTGCCCTGTTTTTAGTCTTTATGCTAAGCTAGGCTAATCAGCTACTGGCTGTAGTTTTACATAAACCAAAACCATAAATCTTTTTTCATCCAACAGTTTTGGTCATGTCACAGGAGGGATTTCTATATTTGTACTTTTGTCTTGTGTGGGCGTGGCTCAGTTGGACCAATCATAATTTAACATTATTAGAACCGGATCCAAATTTCACCACAGTCCCTGGTTGTTTGCTCATGTTGCCATGGTAATGACACCACCAATTCAATGTGATCAAACTACTCCCTCACATTCCCGATGAAGCAGATTTAGTTTTTAACGTGTTGATCTCTTAACAAAAATAGCTAAGGAACATTTTACATGTGAAACCTGATGAACAACAGTAAGTAATGTAATGTAGAATTACTGGAATAATCTTTACAGCACCAGGCTTATTATTCCATACTAGAGTGAGTAATGCCCTGCCTGTGGACAGCAATATTGTAAACGTTTGTGATGGGCTAAAACATGTAGAAACACCATTGTTGTCCTTTAGGTTTTTGAGGTATTTGAGATGTGGATTCTTTAAATCCACATCTGCAGCTCAATGTAGTATTTTGTACATTCAGTATCTGTAACACTTCCAAATATAATTTAATGATTAATTAAAAAAAAACAACTATATTAGACATTTAATATACTGTATTAAGATAGGTCACCTCGCCCTAAAACTGCCTTTATCTGTCAATGAAAACTATCACCATATATATAGTTAACAACCTGCTCCACATATTTTATAGAATAAAAAAAGTTATTTTTAAAGGATTGGCATTTCATTAAATATTGCCATTCTTTCCACCATCAGGGACAGACAGTAAGGCACTGATGCTCGTCATTTCCTTTGCTATCACTGGAAGGTCTTCGGCAGGTTGGGAGCTTGACTTGAGACGCTAGCAGAAAATAATAACATTGTCAAAGTGCAGCAGAAACAATATGCACAGGCAAAAATAAATAGTTTAGAATCTTTAAATGTTTCTTAAAACTGCGAAATAACAAGTCACCCACTGACAACCCCCACTGACCTGCCAGAGAGTCCCCTTTTCTTTAGCCAGTTTGCAGACCATCGTCACTGGAATCATGGTAAGAGATGACATGGCTAAAAACCAGCCGACACAGTACGCCCACCACGGATACACGTAGGAGTTGTTGAACCTCAGGGGGGTGTATCTCAGGAGCAGAAATACAAGGGTGCCCTTTAAAGGTAATCACAAATATAGAAACATGGCTGTGTTCAAAAGGAAAGGTAGTTCCTGTAAATAGAATTTATTATGGACTGCCTTAAACGCTTACACTGCAGATAAGAGGGGTGCCATACATCCAGCTGTATTTGATCAGTGACAGAGGTTTATACCCAATCATGTCCTCGATGTTGTCACTGAAGCGTTCAGCACCTAGGACAGAGACAAACATATTATATAAGCTCTGTCCAAGCTCCATATTTAACATACTATATACTGTAGTATGTGGTTTTCAAAGTGCCCGTCCGGGGGTCATTTCCGCCCCCCTCACTCCAGCCTGTGACATGATGTCAAAAAAAGAATAGAATCCATCCTGCAATATTATTTCTAATTATTTTTTCTAGTTATTGCATATCAATTTAAACTAAATAATGGCACAAAATAATGTTAAAGGTGCCTGCAAATGCATGCAAACGGCCTTCATTTGTTGTTTGGCTGCAACCAACAAAGATGATACAAAATGTAGAGAAAATGGTGTTTGCATTGTTTTGGGGAGTGTTAGCATTAGTAATGAAAATATTTTCACAAAATTGCACTCTCTTGTAGGTCTTGAATGTTAAAGTATGATGTAGTGAATAATAAATGTCACTGTTTTTGCAGTAAGTACACAAGATATTATTGAACTTTTACCAACAGGAAATGACATCCTGCCACCTGCAGTCAATCATCCTGTTGCTAGTAGCAACCACTACTGAGTTCTACAGCATTTACAATTTTCCACCATTTTGTCAGATCTGTGACCAATACTGACAGATATCTGTTATCTTCTCTACGTTAGAGTCTCACAAAAACTGATGATAAAAACTGAGATGTTAAATGAGTTTTTCTGATCAGTTTTGTGTGAACCAAGCTAACCACTAAACCAGTTCTCTGAGGCAACATTTTGGGTCATTGTTAATTTACTGTTGGGCTAAATGTTGTATTTTATTTCTCTTGTGGAATTGATGTTCTTTCTCTTACAGTCTAGTTATATCCAAGAAAACAAGGTCACAAAGATGGGCTTACGTGGCTCTTCTGAACTATCTTGTCTTCTGCTCTAAATACTTAAAAACATACCAGAGCTAGTGACCCAAAACAAGCATATCGTGAAACTGGGTCTTAAAATCTATACAGGAGATATGGATAGACCGTTCTGACATGATTCAATTGAACAAAGACAAAGAAAATGTTCTTTTCCAATATGTTTCTGAGCTGCCACAATTTTATATAATGTGTCAAAACCCAGCTGGACAAAGGAGGGAAGAACACAAGTGAGTTTTAACAAAAAACAAGTTAATTTTACAAAACTAAAATTGAAGATAAAGTATTCTGCACTGAGGCTCCTAGTCCTTAGTTTTTATATCCCGAAAGCCAGAAGGTTGACAACCACAGACAAACTGCACTTCCAACCAATCTCTGACAACAAAACCCCACAAACATCCCAGCTTCTTTCTTTCAGCTCATCCACCCTCACACGACTGCAACCTTGGTGTTGGAGGAAGCGTCTTTAAGACTAAAGAGGTTAAAATACACAAAACCACACGCAAAAAAGGTGGTTTTGCCAAAAAACATTGCATAAAGGGGGCATGTATATAAACTGAAGACTTGTGCCTACCCATAGAACCCATTTTCATTTAGGTATCTTGAGGTCAGAGGTCAAAGGATCTCTTTGAAAATGGCCATGGCAGTTTTTCCGTCGCCAAAATTTAGCCTAAATTCTTTAGTCCCCTTCCCAACATGCTAGCACAGCATGGTTAGTATCAACTGATGTGTAAGGTCATCTAGTTTCATATGTATCATCCACTCTAGCTTTAAAACAGAGCCCGCTACAGCCTCTGAAAGACAAGGATAATGAGGGTGGCACCACAGGCCCCCCTCTGGACACATCCCTATGTACAATTAGTATGACGTCAATGTAACATACAAAAGCTAAAGACAGTCATGCCACTGAAAACTCTACCTTACCATAAATCCATCCAACAATCACTGACTGGAAGATTGCCATCAGAAGAAGAGTAGGACCACTGCATACATAGTGATCAAAGATCTGCAGAATGTATGCGCCAGCCTAAAATTAAAACAGGTTATCAATCACCTTTTATTTTGTGCTAAGTAAACAGCTCCTACTGATGTCAGTCTTCAATAAGAAGGGGGAAAAAAGTGGGGTTAAAAGGCGTTAACTGATCAGACTGCACAAGATAAATCGCTTACATGACCACCAATTGATGTACTTCTTACAGCTTACCTGTGACACCAATAACTGGCCAAACACATAGCTAATAGCACAGATGAGCAGCAGCAGGAGCTCTCTGCGATATCCTTTTCGGATCTGGGAAGGGTAGACATCCGTTAGGGAGGTCATGATGCTTTCAAGCCCAGCAAACTGGAGAATGACAGAAAGACAAGTTAGTGTAGGGACAGTTAAAGAAGAAACATTACAGGAAATGTTAGGGAGAAACGAGGAAGGCTGCAACCGACCTGACCGTCTATTCCTAACAAGATGATCATGGTGAAGAAGCACACGGACCAGACCTGAGGCCACGGCAGGAGGGTCACAGCTTGTGGGTAGACTATGAACACAAGACCAGGGCCTGCAGAGTGAAACCAGTGAGTAAGCAGAGAATGTGTCAATATGTGATATCATTTGTATTGTTCTTGTTTCTTACAGGATTTTATTTAGAATAATGATAACAGATAAAACTAAAAATAAAAAAAGAGTACCCATTTAAAACTTGAAAAATTTCCTAATATTGAGCGTAATCAGTTGTTAACATTCTTTTCATTTTCATTGTATATCCAAGATTTAAGAGATGTATTTATCACATATATTCATACAAGTACGTATAGTGAAATGTTTGTATCAAACCTTCCAGCCAGTGCACAATGCAAATTCAAAAAAATATATGAAGTTACAAAATGCCAGATATATACATCTACATACAAAAAATGTAATGTAATATAATAATAAACACAAAATATACAGAATATACAAAATAGTAAACATATAAAAGGTAAACAGTTAAAATGTGAAAAGTGAATGGTGCAATAGTATTTAAAATGGCAATAGTGCAGTTAAAGTAGTTCTAATATATCTTGTCCTTCAAGAGTTCAGTATCAGTAGGGCAGTACTGAGGAAAAATAAAACATCTTAATTTAGTCTGACAGTTTAAAGTCTGAGTAGGTTGACATACGCACCTGACTCAGCAACTGAACGAATGTCGACACCCTGTTTCTGTGACATGTAGCCCAGAACTGAGAAAATGGCAAAGCCGGATATGAAGCTGGTCCCGCTGTTCAACAAGCAAAGATAGAAGGAGTCTCTGAAAATTAGAAGCAATGTGTCGTTATTTATGTCTTGGTAACACGGGACTGTTAAACTTACAGGACATGCTCACAGACACCTTGAAATTTAACAACTTGTAGTAAAATGAATGATGACAAACAGTAGTAACAGGAAACACAAGACATAAAAATAACTTTACTTAGCTTTAGCTTTTTGTGCATCCATCTGATTTGGGATGGTGATTTAAAAATAGTACATCTGGTATGAATATTGGATGCTGAAATAGAAACTTTATTGTCAGTCGCATCATGAAGTACTCACCTGTAACAGTTGTTGTTGTACTTGTTGTAGCTTCCAAGTGTAGTCAGGCACCCCAAACATATGGCATAAGAATAAAATACTTGGGTTCCAGCATCCATCCAGACCTATAAACAAAAACTAATTATTTGACCAAAAACACTCCCACATTTCCTATAGACAGAGGTACACACATTGTTTACTCAAGTAGAAGTACAGATACTTATGTAAAAGTATCTACTTGGGAAAAGTAGAAGTACTGATTCAACTTCTTTACTCAAGTAAAAGTGAAAAAAAGGCTCTGAAATGTACTCAAAGCATGTTACATCTTTCCTGCATGATATGCACTGGTCTTGATGTTAGGAAGGCGTGCAATGATAATAATAATAATAAGAAGAATAATGTTAATAACGATAATTCCCCTTTAAATGCATTAAAACTAATGTAAAAAACCTGTTTTGAAAAAAGAAAGTACAGATATTTGTGTAAAAATGTAAGATGTAAAAGTAAAATGTTGTCAGAAAAAGATACAAAAATATTTGTACTTTCAGAGATTCATTTAATGCAGATTAGGACACAGGCTGAAGGTTACCTGCGGGTCAGCGAGCCGCGCAGGATTGGGGTTCAGGTAGTACTTGATACCATGGAGGGCTCCAGGAAGGGTCATTCCTCTGAGAAACAGCACCATCAACATGATGAAGGGGAATGTGGCTGTGAAGTAGGTAGCCTATAGATTTAAACAGAAAATGATGATTGTGTAAAAAATCAAGGACACTAAGATTGTACACATGTGGGAAAAGTTTGCTTGAAACATTAGGAGCAATGCTGTGATGTCAGTGCATCTTTTGGTAGTTTTGTAACACACCAAGAAACTCTTTCATAACCCAACAGTGTTGCCAGTACATTGGGTTTTTATTGCCATCCTGGGTTTTCGACACAGCCGACAAACAGCTGCAAAAAAACATACAAATTATCTCTTCTGGTGTGCTTTACGACTTCATATCTAACTGACTCACTGCACACTCCTTATAAAGACAAAGAAATGTAACCATATAAAGCGACAGAAATTCAGGGCACAAAAGAAAAAGTGAACCTGTGTTCACAAAACCTGTTTACAAGATGACAGACTCTAAACTCTATTATCCTTAAAGATGAGGGAAGAGAGGATGCCAGTGAAGTTATCATACCAGAGGATCAGCTCATATAATCTGAATTTGGGACACTGGGGGAAAAATACAGAAGTGGAGAGTGACTCACGTTAGGTAACTGTGAGGCACAGACACACGAGGATCATATTTCAAACATCTCTTACAGAACAGACATCCAGCATTTCCAGTTCACTGCTTATCAACTGAAACCCCAACAAACGACACCTTTGGCTTATAGCCACTTTTCTCACCTTATTGAAAAACATCCATCCTTAATACTGTCTTACAAAGCCCTGAGCTTTACAGAGAGTGGCAGGTGAACATTGACTGCATGTGGCGGCAGGTCTGAGGTAGCCACAGGTGCAACACATCGGTCATATTATGGAGATCTCGTTGATTTGGCTTTTTCCTTACCCTTGGGGAGTGCCAAAGTTTGTACTGCACATTACATATTACATGATATGCCAGACAGTAGAAGAAAAATAATATAGTGTTCATATTTATTTGTTGATCTTGCCTCTCAGTCTATTTTAACCCCTAATCTCCTGATATCTGATTAGCCACCCCATTATCATTACCTCTTACACTCTGCACTGTCTTTCAGAGGCTGAATATATTGTCAGAAGCCCAGGATGTGCCCAAATAACCAACGTATGCCTGGGTCTGCCCCTGCTTACGGAGTACAGGTGGCTCCAGATCTGCAATTTTAGACCGGGGTGTGAAACAGTTTAAGATTCCTCACAGTCACTTTGGCACCATGCTTGTATGAATGTGTGTACAACTACTGATTACGAAAAGACCAGGAGAGACAATACTCTGTTACTGTTTCATAGATTTACAGCATCAAATGAATGCATTGTTATCTCAGTAGGTGATGTAACATTGTAACAGCAAATTATATTAACACATAACTGGTTTGAAAATAAAACTCCATGAGACGATATTACATGTTTTGAACACCCGCCCACAGAACAGGGGTTTTCCTCAGAGTGTGAGTGAGTGGCAACCTCTTGAAAACCAAAAAGAACCAAATTATAATAAATAAATGAGTGAGGATCTGTCATTTCAGTCTTACCTTTCCCGTGGATCTCACTCCCTTCCAGACGCAGAAGTAGCAGATGATCCAGACCAGAAGAAGACACAAAGAAAGTTCCCACTGTATGCTTCCCAAGACCTCAATGCCAGTGGATATATTCAGCACCCGTCGTCTGTAAAGACCAAGGTATTGTCAACCAATTATTTGAGGAAATATATGTATCTAGTGGAATGTGTGAAGAAGGCAGACAAAAATACCTTGTGTAACTAATATTAATGGCTTCATTACATTTAGATAATACGCTAGCATTCAAAATACCAAAGTCCTGGCACTGGCAACCTTAAATGGAATGCACCCAGTATTAGTGTTATTAGTTACATATGTGATTGACAAGTCAAAAAGTTCATTGTGAAAGGTCTAATGATGTTGAAGCAAACTCTTTATATTAATACATGCTTCAATGTGTAATCAGAGGCCCTTCACACCTTCAGCACACAGGTGTTTTTAATTATTCTGGCTCATTAGACCCCCTTTCAAGCTGAATTTAGGGGGAGCTATGCTGGGACTTTGTGTCAGGTATAAACTGTCCCACCCTAACAGATGCAACAAAAAAGATGCATCAAAAGAGTGATGGAGATGTCAGTCTGTACATGTCCACATAGTCCTGCCATAAGGTCTAATCAGCCAAAATGAGTGTGTGAAGGCTTTAATTGACAAATGAGCTGGATACTAAAGCTGATACGGCATTTACATCACACGGGATAGATGCTTGAGATGGAAGACTACTCCCATGAATTAATATCTTACACAACCCATTCCCTGCCAAGAAATGTGTTGTGTAAGGGAGGAAAGTGTGGCAAATTCAAACACCAGTGTGCTCAATTTGTGTTTTTCCTGATGTGGTTAACCTCCTTTACTTAACAAATATAATGGTTAAAACATTTTAAAAGAATTGTTTGAAAGAAACACAGGTTTTTTCAGTTCAAATTGGAATTGTACCTCTGCTACGGTTCAAATTTGGTGGAGTTATGTCAGCAATTACATGAGACCACAAAATCATATAAAATCAGTAGCCTACTGGTGTAACCTGTTCTGCCCTAACACGTACAACTGAATTATTAGTTGTCAGTGAATTATGCACACACCCAGAAATGCTAGACAATTCTTCTGTGCTGTGTGTGTGATGTGTTTGAACAAGTGTATGACATAATTTTGGAAATGCTCTGTTTCCCATCACCACACCAAAATGAAAAGTTGGTGCTTTCAGATCTAGATTGTTTTATGTAATTATGGATGTTTTAACTTTTACGTATGCAAATATTATATTTTTTATTATAGTTTATTTATCTTAAATTCAGTCTCATTTGCTTAAAAACTTACTGCCAAAACTCTATTATGGACGATGAGGCGTTCATAGGCGAGGTCCAGTTAGCAGTGGCATTGTAGTTGTTCAGTACTACACAAGAATCTGAAACATATCAAAGTATTGTTAAATACACAGTTAAAAATGCATGCTCAATTAACACATTATTAGATCAGTACTACATGATAAATTAATGATTGCATCATGATACTGTGACCATACTTAATTATAAATCCGTCCCTCCAGGATTTCGCATGCTTTTTTGGGGGGATTCTTGTGACCTCAAATGCCGGATTTCATGGCAGCTTTTCTACATTTTGCAGGACAATTGTGAAGATTGAAAATTTGCAAGATTTGACATTTTATGTATATTTTTTGTATAATTCATTAAAAATCAATTGGCAAATCGTTACAGTGAGAACAAAATGACACTGTTTGGACAGGGTAAATGTGAGACATTCTGAATCTTCCCAACTAGAAACAAGGAAGTGAATTTGGTGACTCAGTGTTTTGCACAGGAAACTACAATGGTCAAATTTGTGGAAAGTTGCAAGGTCGCACAGAATTCACCATGACTAGATGTATTTGTTTAATTGTTGCAATTGAAACTTCCTGAAGGGACTGATAAATACAATAAAATAATGCAACCTTTTTATGTTTTTCAAAATTATGTTCTGTAAACAATGAGGCTTTATTTGAGATTTCAACTGCTTAACTACTTAAAGTTAAGCAGTTGAGACTTTTTAACAGACTTTTCTGTGTTCTTGGCTGATATTATGCCCAAATATGACCGGG